TTTCCCTATCATGGCACAATGCACATCATGAAACCACAAGGAATTACATGTTGACTTGAAGCATATGATAAGTGCTACTATTCAGGAGAAGACATTTGAATAGCAGGGCCACCAAGTTGCTTCTTACAGTTGCTCATACAGTTTTATATTGGTCCTACCTGTCCAGTGCCTACTGCACAGAGACAAAACTGTGTTTGGAAGGTTTAGTCAGCTGGTGCTGGAGATGTCTACATGAATCATAACCAGAAAAGGTACCCAGTGATTTATGGATGTCATCGCAAACATGCTGACAAAACTTCCATACCAACACTATACCATCATGAGTTTTGTATAAGCTGTGTGTTTCACAAGATAAATTGTCTTAAATGTTTTTCTTAACGCAATTTTTAAAATCCATTTAGCTGTATGGACAAGTACTTCAGCGAACAATAAACTTCACTGTTTAGAGCTCACAAAGAGCTATAATCTACCTCCATAAATGAACTAAAATAGCTTTCTACAGAAGAATCTTGCTGCTGTAAAGTCCAAAATTATGCATCACTGTAAAGCTAGAACCAAGTGCTGTGGATCCCGACAGCAAACCACAAATAGCCCCTTCAAATACTACATCTCCTGTTTTCCCAAAGTATTGGACCTCACAGATCTGTAGCAAGTAAGCAACGATTCTTCACAAACGTTAGCTTCTGTGAAATTATGCAGTACTTTTTTTGATAAGGATCAGGTAATAAACATAAAAGATAGACACTGAAAGGTACATGGAGATTTAGAATCTCTCATGGAAGACGGATCACTAGCCACAGAATCACAGAATGGCCAAGGTTGGAAGGGACCTCTGGAGATCATCTAGTCCAACCCCCCTGCTCAAGTAGGGTCATCTAGACCACACTGCACAGGATTGTATCCAGGCGCGTTTTTAATATCTCCAGGGAAGGAGACTCTACAACCTGTCTGGGCAACCTGTTCCCCTGCTCAGTCACCCAGTCAGAGACGGCTTGAACAGTTACATATCAACAGTTATTTGGATTTGTAAAATATTCCTAGGTATCATTTCCATCCTAGCAGTACATGCCAATTGTACGTACACACTGGGAAATGTAGTCCTTTCTTCTTTTGCCTATCATGGTAGTCTCTTACCTGAATTCGGCGAGATGTGTAAACTGCTCATGTCCTTTGAGAGGCCGTTCGTTTTGGGACTAGAAATGGGTGCACAAGCTGATGTAGCTCGAGGCGGCCTCTTTCCCGGGACTTTCACAGTGGTTCTCAGCAAGTCGATTTCTTTCCCATGAACATTCTGCATATAGTCCTGGTAGGAGGAAAAACCCCAAAAAACCCAGTATCAGACAAGCAGTTCTGCAAGCAGGAAAACTAAGGAAGCCTGGCTTCCAAAGCCTTGCGTCCTACATCGTCCGCCACCACCCAACCACGATGACTCTGCTTCCCCCTTCCTTCCACGCTCCTGGTAATCCCGATCACACTTTTCACTACAAATACTCCACAAAGTCTTTAGCTCTCTAGTACATCCTCCCACCACCAGTTGGGTGAGAGGCAGCTCATGCTGAGGCTGGTTTTGAGCCGCATGTACAAATTTACCAGCCAGCAGGTCAAAACCAAGCAGAATGACTAGGCGTTGCTCACTGTTCCCCACCCATGGGTTTACTTCTGTCCCTCTTCAGGTAACTTTAAGTACTTCTCTCCCTCTCTTTATCAACTTTGGCTGAAATTAGCCAACAGGCTTAAAAGTTACAAGGGGGACTGACTGGAAAGGTTTCCATGATTACAACACTGTTTCCTCGGAATATCATCCCTCCTCCGCAAAAAACAAAACAGCAGAAACAGCCACGCAGCAGGAAGAAAAATATGCCAATTAGTTCAGAGTAAACGCACTAAAAGCTGGAAGATAGAATCAGAAAAAGGCTTTTCCTAGTTCTTGTTTGGAAAGCACACAGAGAGAAGGTAAGCAGACAAATCTTAACAGTCCATTATGGAAAAACAGTAGTCAACTTGGTGGAGCCAAACCACCTTTCCTTGACAGCTTCACGACAAAGGGAACTGAACAGTTCTTCAAAGAGTAATGAGATTCTGGAAAAACGGGCTCTTGACTCTGCTCCCCAGCTTCAAAGCATTCCCTAAATTGTCTGCGGGCTTCCTCAGTTGAAAACACAACAGCAAGAAGACATGGATTTCTTTATGAGAGGACGAATGACAGTTCCCTAATGTAAGGCAGCCATCGAAAAGGCAACCCTGGAACACAGCAGAAGAGACGCTTTCAGTAGAGGCTGTGAACGTTAGAGCCACTATAGAAGACATCGAGGTACACGTCCCCTGGAATGCACTTTTGGGGTTACTCGCACTCCAGAAAAAGAAATAATAATAATTCAAGCTGGAACAGCTACAAGGACGGCCAAAGAAAGAGAGCCTGTCTTATGAGAAGAAATGCAGGCTAGGTGGCACAACAGAATAAAATAAAGGATGAGAAGGAGTAAGAACATTGTATAAACGTACATCAGGGTATATGCATTCCCACAAGGGAAAAAGCTATTTGAATGAAAGATCAGGAAAGAAATGGGTATGTTTAGGTCAGAAACCAGGGGAATGGTATTCCTAACAATCTTCTAACAGGAGCAGCTCGGGGTAAAAACTGTAATTCCTTCAAAGATGGAACTTGATAAATTTATAGAGCCCTCTGTGAGATGCTGCGAGCACCCATGCAACCAAAGACTCTCTGACAACGAGATTTTTTCCCACTGTACAAGTGTCCACGGCACTGCAACATAATTTAGCCACACTAGGAGGTATTATATGAAAGACCACAAACGTTAACTGGGTCGGTTACAAACCTGCAGCATAGAGGCCCACATACCACCAGAGCATCCATTTTACAAGTAATACATGAAGTGGACTAAAACCATACTCTAGGTCTAAATCACTACTGCCACAATGCAGGGAGCAATCAGTTCCCCCATAAAAATCCTTTCTCCTTTGACAGTTTTTACAATAAGAATTATATATTCTGCTCAAAACATACCAAAATCTACCACTGGGCCAGCATTCATTTTTTGCACAACTGACTTTATTATTATCTGCAATAATAATAATTAAAAAAAACCTCAACTAAACAATCACAGCAGCTTCTTTTCCCAACTGGTTGAGAATTATTTACAGTAAAAAAGGGGAGCCTGAACAGTTCACTGGCAGAGGAAGTGGAGCATTGCTGCCCAAAGAAACAAAGGCAATCCATTAACAAAAAATTCACTTCACTTTTGTGCATTTCTGCTCTAGCAGCTACTGTTTCGCCTATAAATTATCAAATTGGCATAACTTTCTTGCTTAGTGTCAGTTCTTCACAAATTAAAATACAATAACCAGAACATAATTGAGCACTTATTGCTTATGGGCTCTAAAATGAGGCTTAATCAGATAGTGACTAAACCTCAGCATGTACTTTTTTTAATAGACACATTTTATTTAGCATACAACAACCGGCGTATTCCATTTAAACTTGATAATGAAGCGTTTATTCCAAATTCTTCAGAGGAATAGAGTATAGAGTTTCCATGCTACCCCACCAGCTTGCAAGATGTGACAGGGCGTTATTAAAGCACTTTTAATTGAGAGTAGAACAGGCTTAGGTGAGCTATAAACAATTCAAGAGAGTAAGTGAATGCTGGCAAATGGGAAATAAATACGCTGTAGCCATATTATATGAAAGTGCCCAAACAGAACAGATGCCACACAGGTATTAATGTCAGCTTAAATATTTATAGGGATATATCAAATGTAAATAATAAGGACTCTCTCATTGTGTGCAAGATGCATAGCAATAATCTGTGCATTTCCCTGAGGAGGAGGAGAGGAAAGCACCACGTTGCCTACCAGCCCAGCATCCATCCCTGCACCCACTCCTTCAGATCTGCACTCGGGGCTTAAAAGTTAAAACTACAAAATAACGTAGCGGCTTCAGAAGTGCAATGTATGGTTTGATCAGATTAGAACAGATGAGGGCCTTGCTGTCATCTGGAATATGCTGTGTTAAAGGGGAGACAGCAAGCCGGATTTTGATATGCAAATGTTACAGATATAACTCCCCTAGATGTTAGTTGTAGAAAACGCTGATCCAAGAAAAAAGGGGAAAAAACCCTTTAACAAGGCATGAGGGTAATTCAAAGCCAAGTACTTTTAAACAGCACTTAACAAGTCCCTAGAGCCCACTCAACAGCGGGCCACCCCAGAAGGGCCATCTTCTGCCCCTCAACAGCTTGAAAAAGTAGTAATTGCAAACCCATTTGCATTTTTCTTCTCAAGTTGTCCACGTTCATCATTCAGAAACGCAGGAAAAAAAAAAAAAAGCAAGCAGCAAAGCAACGGGAACCCTCCCCAAATGTGTCAATAACAGGATAACCGACCGCCCGCGTCCCCCGCACCCCTGCTCTTGCACCTTCGCCGCCGCTTGTTTTTTACACTCGCTCCTAATTATGTTGCATCTATTGCCATACACTTAATTAGCTGCATTAATGTGATTTCTTTTCACATAGTCAAGCAATTAAGAGCTATGATTGAGTTTCATTCAATTAGCCTCAACAAACATGCTAATTGATGTCCCAGATGCAAATGAGGTGCAATGAGAGAAACCTGCTAGCAATTGAGAGTTGCGGCGGAGAGACCTCCAGCTCTCGGCTTGCTGACAGCAGCACCGCTGCCCCCTTCCGCGGAGCCGCCTTCGGAGCAGGGGGAGCTGAGCCATTAGTGCCTCCGTGTCCCAAAGAGATCCCTCCAGGAACAACGGACGGCACTGAATCAAATCAGCGACGTCTCCCATCCTTACAGCCACGGCTAGTAGCAGGGCGGCAAGCGGAAAAGCGCGGAGCGGCTCCCTCCAGCTTGGCAGGCATGCGTTCCAGCAGCCACAAACGCCACCGTTTCTTTCTCTCAGGACTATAAAAGGTCTCCGGTCTCATCTCCGAGCCTGTGAAATACTACGCAGGTAATGGCCTACAGTTATCAGTAACTGGCGACTTAATCTTAGTCAGCTCTGGGGCAACGCCGCTCCTTCAAGTTAGGCCCAGAACACATCAATCAATCAATAAGCCCCCCAAAATACGCTCCCCATATCGATTCTCATTGCTTTGCGTCCCGAGGTTACCGTTGGCGGTTTGCTCAAATATAGTGCTGCTGCACTGTTAATTTGACTACTCAAGGCCATTGACCATTATCTAAAGGACTAAATAAACTGCTAAAATATCAGCGAAAGTCATAAAAACTACACTGACTGAAGATGACACAAAGCGTTATTTGACAGCACTGCAAAATGAATTGCCCTGAGTAAAAAGACACGATGCGCCGTGACACAGACTAATGTAAGGTAAAATTATTTTAGTTCTGGTCTTGATCCAGCTCTTCGTTTATAACAGCAGAAACTAAATTAACCAGGTAAACAGAAGCTTTTCAGATGCACAAATTGAGCAAATGGATATGATTTTGTTTTCTATACAAAACTACCAAAAAGAAACACTGCTATTCTGGGGTGCCCCTTTTGTTTTCAAGGCCAGTGGTTGTGAACAAAATTGCTAGCATATGTGGCAGTGGCTTGATTACGTTCAAAACCAGAAAAGACACTCCACCACGGGCCACGGCCTGGACCCAGAAGACGTGATGCTTCCAGGCTGCCTTCTACTTTCTCCAGGAGGGGAGCGGGGAAGATGGAGGAGCTTGCTGCTCCATGGTGCTAGGTGAACAGGACTCAAACTACACACCAAACCCCCTCATCTGAGGATTGCCGTATGTCATAAAATTAACATTTTAAGAAAATTTTGCTCCATCTTAGAGAGCTACAACAAGGACATGGCCAACTATGTGTTTCTTCCACTAAGTACCTGGCCCACTAACCCCACTCTCTCCTACTTGTAATGGGTAAAACAACAAGGATGCTCCCTGCAAATGCTGCCTTTCCATTTATTTAATGATACAAAGGAGCATTTTCAATGCAAATAAGAATATTACACCTTTTCTCATTTTGATCTATTAGCCCAGAAAAAGGCTGTTTTTCCAATACTAGGAACTGGTCTAGGCCCAGGAGAGACAGACAGACAGAAATTCTTTCCCAAACCTACCATTGGCTTACACTGGGCTTTTGGGGAAAAACACCTTCATTTCGGGCCAATTTCCCCCGCCTCAACCGCACATGATACTCACAGGGCTTAGTTTACTGAGGTCAAGATAGGGTTTCCCCGACTAGAGGTAAAACGAAACATAAAAACATGCAATTATAGAAAAGCAAGTTTGGTGGCACGTCAGGACGGCGTTTTG